CTATTAAATATCAAAGCAACATCAAGAGGAATTTATCAATAATTAATAATACAATACTAGGTTGATAAATATCCCGGTCAGGGAGATATATATTATACATATTAAGTATGACGGGATACATTTGTAATTGCATTAAAGAATTATGAGAATATGATTAATAAATTTCTGTAATCGAAATTTCTAATTAGAGTGATATAAAATTGGATATAAAATTATTAATCGACCTAATTTCAATTGAACATATTTATCCATCACGATCGTCATTAATTTAATGTTACGCCGCTTCGCATGTGAAAATAGCAAAGCTTGTACACTGGCCGTGTCCCGATATACACTTGTAATAAAATGAAAATCTATAGTTCACGTACACTATAGATTTTCAGTACTGGCAGTGTATATTGGAACACGGCCCCTGTCGAGTTCATAATTCGAAACAACACAGAATAGCAAGAAAAATGGATTTCCACAAAGCACAGAAGAGACTTTCTCGTGAGATCTAAGAAACGGGCGAGCTTCTGAAAACATTGTCTGGCGCTTTTGGAGCAATGAAGCATGAAACGCTTAACTATGGCGTGACATTTCTCCAACGGCCTTCTTGAAGATCCGTGAAAGAGACGCGCGTTCTTTCGTCTGGAACATAGACACCCACGAAACTTCTCCCCAGCCTCGCCAATACTAACCTCCAAGGATATCTTTCATATATATTTCAAGCGATCGAAAATGTCATCTTTCTTCACGAAGGATACCCTGCCCTTTGCTATCTTTTACGAGCAAGCAAATGGATCCAAATCTGAAATGGATTAAAGAAATTGAAGACAGTAAAACCTTTACGTTGAGCTTATACAAAAAGGATATCATAACAAAATGCCGATTTAAATATTTATTTAAAGCGAAAAGAACGCATCCATTATATTGCATATACATTTGATTGATGTTAACAGTGCGTTAATAAAATAAATCATCATACAAAACGGAAATATTGTTAAATTTGTAATTGAGTGTTGTATTTTTTTATACCATATTGTGTATGAAAAGACGATTTTGTTGAAATATCTAAAAATTTAGTTAGATACAGATCTAAAAATAGTTTTGTTGGATCATCAAAATAATTACATAGGAAACTCAAGCATGATGAGCAATGCTGCAAAGTTTTGACATTCTAACAACCAGTTTGAATAATCTGCATAATTATTTAAATAGTCCAACAAAATAGTTTTCGGACTTGTATATAGCTAAATTTTAAGATATTTCAACAAAATCGTCTTTTCTGTTATTTGAATAATTAATAATGAACGTTTAACATAATTAATTACAATTATAATAAACATGATATGTGTATAATAATATATACATGTACGCGTATTCTTAAATATTTTTTTTAATAAAACAATTTACTGATTTCTCTTTATCCCGCGTGTGTATAATCGTCTTCAATAAAAAGATATTTTATAGAAATATATTTCGCTTTATTGCGAAAACATTATAAACAACATTTGTACGGAAATGAAGTGACTCTTCGTAATGTGTCGAGAAACAGTTTATCTATATTTTCGCGCGTGTATTTACACGATATCATCTACATCGTATTATTCACACCTTGTTCCCAGAGTAGATATCTGCATCCAATCGATACAACTAACCTTTGACCTATTATCGTAGCTTGGCAGCGAGTTCTTCTTCGTTATGAGATATCGTTTCGCGAGATTTAGATTATGGTGGTTGTAGCAAATTGTTCGATAAAATTTTTTCCAAGACGCATATAAACGTCTAAATGATTAAAAACACTTCGTTCACTAAGTTTTTCACTTTATTCTAAATCATTCTACAAAAATAATTATGTATTTATAATTATAATTTGTTATAAGCATATGTAGATACATAAATATTATCATTGTACTATAAAATTATCGACTGTAGAAAAACAAGTTGTCGCATAATATATTGCACCGAGATAACGACTCTTCTATTTCTTTTCTTACGTCTTTTCTTACGCGATTAATATTTTCTGTTTAATTTAATAATTTTAAAATAATATCATTCATTTTCCAAATTTTTAGCTTTGCATAAAGGAGTAGATACAATCCCAAAATAACAATTGAGGCTTTCACTAAAAAAACTTGATATTTTGAATCACGAAGTAGACCAGGTACTTAGACAGCGGTTATTTCCTTGATTTATAATTGATTACAAAATCCCGTGAACCTAATCGCGGGGACACATTGTAGATTGTATAACTCACGCTTAGAATCTTGGTCAGTAGAATAGAACGCGGCAAACATGCACGATCTTGATTAGTCTAATTCGTGCAACACTTTACAAGCTCGCTAGGTTTACTTACTTCTATTGTAGGACTATGCGCGCAAACTGATGTACGATACGTCTCTCGAACATTCTGCTGACTCATATGTACATTGGATGTAGGGTCAAGGCTTTTCTTACATCTGTTTTACTCAATGATACGAAGTAACGCACGAATCAAGCACGCACGACACTATTATTAACCCAATTAACAGAAATTATCAAAGACTTTCATCAGACATTTATACTTGAAAATAATCACTTTTGTTAAGGCGATCAATAATAACTGTAAGTGAAACACTGGTACATCAATATAATGTTTTCAATTATTATCTCTTTTCAACACTGTTTATCTATTGCATATATCTATGTAGGACGAATAAAAAAAATACAATAATTACAGATATACTAAGAAAAACGTCCTGGTTGCCTCAATAAAGAATACAAACAAAATGAATTCTGATCATATGAATCAGATTCCTGATTATTGTAATTAAATTTATGATTATTTCGATCAATTTAACTATAAGTGTATAATTTATACCTTTCTAATTGAATTTATCAGAATTTTAATGAATGCAACAAGCATACCTCTTCATCATATCAATGTGCCATTATTTTATAGAACTTAAATTCTTTGATTTATTAAAAAATGTACCATGTAACGTTTTATCATAAAAATTTTAGAACAAGGAAAATTATTGTCAAACCAAACACAGATCATTGCAAGTAAAATTTTTAGAGATTACGTTCACCTATATAATACGATTTCTGTTGTTTCTATTGTTTCGACTAAAGCGATTCATATGCCTAGAAATGTCTGTCGTCAGATATCGCTAAGATACGTAATCCAACTAAGGTTACCATACGTGGCTTCGTGTGATCCGGGAATCAACACCGCGCCAAGTGATTATGGTCTTGGTCAGCCCAAGCTGAGCCAAGCAGAAAACGTTTTCGGATCGAGTTGCTCCACTTAGTGGAACCGGAATCGGCTGCTGCGCCGTTGTAGCCATTAGATCGAGCTCTCATAGGTACTGCGGAACCGTATCAGCTCGCGAACTCAAGAGCCGTTTGTTTGGCTGACCGAGACCATCCGTATCTACTGACCCGTTAAGTCAAGAACAGACTCGCTGTACTTTATGCTCCGAACCTTTGGGCGTATCTATCTCTCATGGTCGTGTATGTCATACAGGCTGTTACAATATCTTCTCTCGAACTTGTCTTTTAAATAATGCTAATACTAGTATCTACGTCAGTTCAGGAGAGAGTTTGTGACGGCATCGTAAGATTCAATAGTTGCATAATTTACAAAAGAATATATATTTCGACATCATTAATTAAAAATTCTTGTCTAAAAAAATATGCAACGTATTGTTATTAAAATACTTCACTGCAGTTTATAATGCAGTTATTTATTACAATTATTATAAATTTTCAAAAGAAGATTCTTAGTAAAAAAGACTATATTATTACTATATTGTTATATATAATGAGTGTAAAAAATATTTGTACAAGGAATTTTTTTTATAAAAAAAGTCTTATTTGTAGAAAATAAATATTAATTAACAATTTTATACAATGAATATATTCTGTTCTAACATAAACAAATGAAATTCATGTATTCCTGATTTTAAAAGCTAAATTTCTCGATTGTACAAATATTTTTTGAACGTCCAAATAATACAATTTTTAATTTTCACTTATTTTTAAGTTAATATATTTTCTATAATTAATACACATCTTTTTTATACATATAATTTTGAGAAACATACAGTTTATTTTACTCTTTATGATAAATAAAGAAATGACCATAAATTAGACAAGATTTAAATTAGATCAAATTTGTATCGAAATCATCGTATCGATATTGATGAGACATTTCGCTGAATGTTTAACTTTTAAAAATAAAATTTAAAAAAAATATATTTTTTCTGTACACAAACTTTTTGCACTTGCTGTAAATATAACGTTAATATGTATTAAAATACTGCTCTACTAAGTTGTAATAATTTGGTAACGTTCTATCTGGATTGAAATATATTTCTTGCAATTCAAAAAAATGCTTTTAACGCAAGCTAGCTTAATTGAAAGGGTAAAGCGAAGTAATTTAATAGATTAATAGAAACTTTAATAGAAATTATATAAAAGATTAAGATCGCATAAAGTGTTTAATTAAACATACAAAATATATACACTATTGCACCAACAGTGCACATTTTATATATTTAATTAAATACATTATACAACTTCAATATTTTAATACTCTCTAAATTTCTTGGAGTAAAATCTCACTCCAAAAGAGTTAAAATATTGCCACTATTGAAAAAGAAGGAAAAATTTGCACTCTTGAACAAGATTTTCACTCATTTTTCGGAATAAGATTATTTCCAAAGGAAAAAATCTCACTCCAAAAAATGGTGAAAATCTGCCACTCTTATTCAAGAGTTGAAATTTTTCACTCTTTTTCAATAGTGCAGTGCTTTAACTCTTTCGGAATGAGATTTCATTCCAAGAAATTTAGAGAGTACAATTTGAAAATTTCAACTATATCCAAATTATCTTGTTTAATTTCATTAATTAAATCGAAATAAATAAAAAGGTAAAAAAATGCAATTGTTCTGTACATATAACTAATTTTAGAACGCTGTTATAAGAGTTTTTATAAGGAAAATATAAAATATGAAATTCTTGTTCGTTTACAGAAGTGCCGGCGGCAGTATGCTGGGCGACGTGAACATCTCTGCGATACTGGATTCCTTCTCCGTCAGTTACGATAAAAGAGTAAGGCCGAACTACGGAGGTGAGTAAAGACTCGATTTTCCCCATCTTACGATATACGAGATCATTCGTGGATTTTATACCATGCGCAAAACTTGTCAATTCGATATATTCGACGTGTTTATTCAATTAACGTTGATCAATTTTGATTAATTTACGCACGTGAGGTAATTTGCGTTGGAACAAGTTTTGCGTTCGGCACGATGCTTTTTCCGTTTCATTGTTTATGATCGTTGCACTATTACGTGAATCTAAAAAACGTTACCTTGCAACTAACGAAAATGAGGGAGTTAGATGACGAAAGAAACTAAATATTGACACACCGACGAAACCAATCAATTGGCGAACGAACAGAAAACCAGTATACGACTCTCTTTTAATTCCACTTCGTTCGCTGCAAGCACAAAAAAAAAGCTTTTTACGTGTGCTCGGATAAAAAAAGATAAAATGGTACCGTATTCCACTTTAATGCAGTGCTGAGATAAAAGAAACTGAAGAACAGAAGACGGTGGGTAAACGTAGGATTTATATACCTAAAAACATTTAATGCACGAAATCGATACGCGATAAATCAAAATATAAAGCACAGGCTTTCGGATTGTTGTAACAATGGTGCGACATAACGGTTAAAGCTCCGGCGAAACGCTCCAGGAAATATTTTTGACGTCGCTTATCATCTCCCACGTTTTACCCTACAAAAAACGACGAGCTTTCGAGCATACTACCGTTTCCATAAAACAACTCTGACAGGAACAGCGCGGCAGCACGTGTACGCGAATCGCATCCTGTTTCCCGGCAAAGGAGTAATTTGCAGTTTACCACGCGGCTCAACCGCGCGACTACCGAAAAAGAAATACCGATAAAACGATGCGGCAGACAGCGCGGAGATGGGAACAGCACGTGACTCCCTGAAGATAAAAGTGTAAAGCACAAAGCGTTCTCTTTTACCTCTTGATCAATCCGCAATAATATACAGCTTGCACGTAATTTGTAAATACCGATTTGCGTAAATGGTCGTTTCAAATAAATGCCAGACTACCAAGTTTATCGACTACCAAGCGCGATACGATTTTGCAGTCGAATAAACGCAATGCTTATAAAATATAGGGTTATTAAAGAGCCATTAGTCCAGTTTCGAGTAAGCATGCTCGCCATTCGAGAGTCAGTTAGAGGCAATTAGTGCCTGCCAATGGACGGTCTGTCCCACTTTCGGCTCGATAGGCCCGGCCAAAAAGTCCCCGCGCGCGTTTAGGTCGGCTTGGTCGTGTTTGGATTCGCGGACCGATTATCGATGTCGAAGCAGCTACGATTATAATTCACGTGTCGATGATTCTACTATGACAAAGTTGCATTTTCGGGGGTGGCCTCGTAGAGGTAGGGCGGGGCTGGAGAGCTTCGATAAAACTCGGATCAATGCTGGGACGCCCCACGGGTTGCCAGGGGTTACCGTTAACGGCATCCTCTCGGACTACATAGAGACGCAGTATCTCATCTTCAATTACTATTTTGACTTTGATTTTACTGTTGCGTCTTAACGCCTCCTTTTGTCTCGGATTCTATTTCAGAACCGTATTCATACTTTCGATTCTCAGTATCGCGATTGCTAACAAGATGTGACGCCTCGATTTCATATAGCTGCTCTATTTTTCCTCCGACCAAAAAAGAATTCAGAGTTTAATTGACCGAGAATCATTTCGGTTCTTCATTTTCGAAGAAGCTAAAAACGTTTACCATATATTAGTCCAAAATGTATTTTTGTTCTCGCAGTTATAATTGCTACTATTACAGGTCAGATGTAAAAATCGAAAAAGCGGTTAACTGAATAATTAAAAGTTCAAATTCGTATGCTAAAGGTAGTTAAAATTATGAATTGCAATTATTAATTCTCACAATAAAATAAAATAAATACAGTTTTTATTCAGCATATTATCAGTTAATTACATTCCATGCAATTGTTAAACATGCAAACCGTTTATTTTATCTGAATATTATTCAATTTATTATTTTACAACCACAAGCAATACTAAAACAATTAAAAATTTATCAACTGATTTTTAATGCAATAATACACTTTGCAATACACCGTTGCAATTATGATTGAAGTCGTAGAACAAAAATATGTATTATTAATATATCGTTTATTTTTAAAACTGCATTAGAAAAATGAATTACTGATGACTCACTTTGCAATAAACTCGAGCTGACAGTCAGGCATAAAAGACGATCATTTCATTTTCCGACGGGATCAAGTATACAGGTTCCTATCTCGACAGATCGCAAAAAAATGCACTAAATATATCGTCTAGATTCGAATCGCCGATATCCGCATCTCTCGCTGCTTCCGCATATCGATACACGGAATCCCCGGAGGGATACGAGTTTCTAACATTTAAAATTTAGATCGGTACGCGGACATTACGGAAACGGACACGAGAATACCGCGAACGGATGGGATAAACCCTGCCGCTGCTCTCTTCGATACGTAGTACTTCATTGGATATTCCCCGGAGCGCAGCCGGATTTTCAAACGCGAGTTCTACCGTTGCCATCCAAGGCCTACGGAAAATGACAAAATACGTGACGAGAAACTTGAAACGTTTGCACTCCATAAACTAACTGTCGTAATGATAAACAAAAACTTTTCGCATTCGCGTTAAAAAAGAAACTCTATAACGTTAAAACACAACGTTGACTCGACTAGAATTACAACAAACAAATCAACTAAAACGATGAAACTTTATACATATTACGTGCTTATATATATTTTATAAAATACGATATTTAATGGAGTTATCAAATATTTTTCATCAGTTCAAGAGAAAAACTGTGTAGTCTACTTAAAAGTTTATACTAAAAATAATTTTCCAATCATAATATAATTTACTAAATTTAATTCAATATAATATTTAATATTATATACGTAACGCATAAAGGAAAAAAATTCATATATAAAAAATATTCATAAAAAAAATATAATCGTAAAAATATAGTTAGCAAATATCAATTTACGCGAGGTTGATAACTGCAATTTTTCGATCAGATGGCTGATTATTAATTTTTGTTCTTTCGCAGTTACATCATATGTGTTTGAAATATTTTTAATCTTTTTTTTTTTTTCGGAGTAAGCTCTCTCATGGGCGATCGGTTTGCACGGGCGAAGCATACTGGCGCGTTTCAATTAACTCGATACCACGTCAGCCGTGCGTTTTCCAGCATGTCGCGAGAACGTCATTGTGAAATATGTATCCCATATGGGATGTTCCTCGGCTATAGGAGCTTTAAAAACATCCTAGAAATGGAAATGAAGATATATCGGTCGAGTGGCGCGCGATGGCGTTGGCAGAGCCGTTGTTTACGAGTCAACTTTATCGCGAAAACGCCAACGTGGACACGTATATGTGCCTCGCATTCCCCAACCCTTTCCATCCCTCCCTCGGCCTCACTCCCCCGACAACCGGGTTCTTTCCATCTGCACCTGACTTCCCGCCCTTCTTTCACCCTCTGCCTGAATTTCGTCCATAAACTTTTCTACGGTGAGATACCGCCTGATCGGGCGCGATTACATTTTTCCGCTTCGTCTTTGCGGCCGATCAATTCGACCGGCAGCTTCGATTTCGTGCTTCACATCTAGCAGCGAACTGCTGAAATTTTCACGAACCCTCGTCAAGTCTTTGAATTTAGATTTCGCAAAGATTACGATAGAAATCTGAAATATCTTTATATGTCAAGTCGCATGTTGGAAAACGCGAGCTTAAATGATTATTTATATAGTAATGTATTTTATTACATATCCTATCTGAGAGAATTTCATTAAATTAATTATTAACTATAATGTTTTTATAACGTTTACTAGAAATTAAAAATAAATATAATAATTGCAAACTAATTATGTGACATGAAGAAAATATATTCTTAAATGATATCAGGCACGTTAAAAAAAGATGAAAAAAAGAAAAAATATTTGGTATAAATAATTTTATGACTTAATACCAGCTTAGCTTTAAATATGATTTATTCGCCTCGATAAATCCGAACGCGTATAATACAAATTATATACGATACAAAGTACGTCAGAGCGCTGCGCACAGAGAGATTAAGCCTATCCGCAAAACCGTCGTTGTGTAACATTGACGACAACCGAGCACACGTAAATCAGCGCATAAATTATCAGACATCGTCTAATCGAAAGCGATTACCACTTTCCAGCGATCCATCCAACGTAGCGACCTCACCAACATACCATTCGCATTCACAGTAAATTCACAGAACGCTATCGAAAAAGAACGAAAAAGAAAGAAAATAGATATGTGTGATACTTGTAATTAACGAACGAATGCCATACAGTCACTCTCACCGTGTAGCTTGGCCGCGGTCGGAAACCGGCGACTCAGTCTTACTAACCTTCGATTTCAGGTCCTCCCGTCGAGGTGGGCGTCACCATGTACGTCTTGAGTATCAGCTCCCTATCCGAAGTGAAAATGGTACTACCTCTAGGTCTTACTCAGTAATTCCGCTGAAAGTTACTCATTACTATCGTTCTCGGCTAAACACAAAATCCGCCCTTCCACTCCCCCGCCCGCCCGTCGGTCTCTTCGGCCAAGCGATCATACGTTTTTTAGTGCCCGTGCATTTTCAAGTCAACGATTGCCGCTGATCGTTACTGAACTGCAATTAGCATTTTTTACCCACTGACACACATGCACAGATACACCTAGGAGACTTAGGGCGGAAGCAGAGAATTTTGCGTAACGCATAACACATAATGCATAATACATGAAAATGAATCAATCAAAGTCCTTTATTTCTTTCCTTTCCACAAAATAACAGATTCTGATTGGTTGATTTTCTTATACCTTGTGCGTTATGCAATACTCTGTACTTCTGCTCTTACACGCGCGGCAACACGAGTGCGGATGTATATCCGGTTCCACATTGTTGTACATACACGCGCACACAAGTGTGCATTCTTCCCGTTTGTTTTCATCACCCTCGCAACGAATGAAACAATTATCATTTTCAATTATTCAATTACGTAGACTCAGAAGATTTTCCTTCATGCAATATAACTATCATTCTATTTGTGTTATGTGTGTTTTTGCAACTATTAAAACACGTAAACATATTCTGTTATTATTGTCTCTTTCTTCTCGAAACGGATACTTGAGTATCGCGAGATGGTATTCGAGTAAATGATTTATTTCGAAAATCAACAAAGGTAACGAGAGAGCAACGCATGTTGATTCTAGTGGTCGACTCCAATGTTGATTGCATTAACAATCAACGTTTGCATCTATGCGGGTGCATCTCTCATGCTATCCGTATCGTCTGAGTAAATAAATTCATTCATGTCGTTAATCACTAATTGGGGCGATACTTTCAGCGGTCGAATCGGATCTTCAATAAACGACTCATTGTTTAATACATTTTCTGAAGCATGAATTATCTTCTCATTGCCTAACGATATCGTCGCGATTATTTTGCTCCGAATGCGTATATATACACTGTGGAAAATGTCTAGCTGGATTAATTGGAATTCTGGTTGAAAATGGACACATCGAAATTTTTTTTATTAAATCTACTAGAATTCTAGTCGTGATAGATGGAATTGACACAATCAGAATTTTCTGATTCGTCCATTTTTAACCAAACATTTTTCTCAGTGTAACGATTGATTAATTACAGCCCTACGAGCCTTGTTTTAGTGTACTGAAAAAAGAGTCTCGTTATATCTGCCAATTGTTAAGTGAAATAATTTCAATCATTGTAATATAAAATTAAACATAATTTTATCTTTACAAATATTTAGTAAGTATTATCAAACGATATTACCAATGATAATACTTACTAAATATTTGTAAACGTAAAATTATGTTTGATTATATCACATATATATCTAAGTATTTAGTTGAAATTATTTTATCATCACATTTGATAGCTACAACCAGACTTTTTCAGCGTATTTCAAAAGAAATTCGATCTTCGGTGCATCGAGTGGAACACGAGAAACTCTCAACGATCTCCGCTAGTCGTCATTACATCGGTACCGTTGTGTATTCGTTGATCGACACTCCGACGATGAAATGAATTAACTTGCACGCGCAGAATCACATTGCTCTGGACTATGTATCTTTCCTTTGATGTTCATTTAACAACGACGTTTGGAACCGCGAAAATGGGTAACACGATTACCATAACGATTCTGTGCTCGCTTCGAGGATCTCGTTCGCCAATACGAAGCGACATCCAATTTTTTGGCATGGTGATTTCGGAGCCAATTAAACTCAAACTATGCAAAAGAAAACTAATCGATGCTTCGCCAACTCTACAGTTCTTCAACATTACGAATAGCGCATCTCTAAAATGAAATACGTCTAAATGTGAGATGAAAATTCCTCCGCTTTTAAATGCTTTTAATCGGATCAGATTATTAATCCAGATTTATATTTTTCGATTTGATTCAATGAAAGGAATAAAAATATCAAAACACATATTCATTCATTGAAATACAAATTCATGATTTCTAGACATGATAAATGCAGAATTTCTATCATTTATTAATTATAGGAAATGATGCTATTAATCTATTTGATTTTACGACATTTTGATGATACTTCAGACTATAATTTATATTTTTATTTGATATCTCATCTTCGAATGTGACTGTTGAAATACACTCGAGAACTAATGATTTGTAGCAAGAAGAAAAATGACAATTGTCATTGTACATATCGGCAATTTTTCCTCTAATAACTTCTTCGCGTGATATTTTTCTTTCATTTCAGTCACAGAATGGCAAAATTATTTCAATCATATATCTTGACACGTAGATATTTTGTTGCTCAGACACCGAGAAAACGATTTATTTTGCACTCGAAATTCCTATTTACGTTTATTTCATTAAAACAATTTAATTTTGAATGAACATTATTTTACCTAATCCTAAAAATTTAATTTGAATGTAATCAATTATTATACATTTCTTAAAGAATCGATTTGATTGGATTTGCAATGACTACATAGAAATATTAAACTTAGAGAAATCTTTTTCTATGTGTAGGCATGACAGAAATCTTTATTTGATTAGTATGTAACATCAATTTAGTAAACCATGTACCATGTAAGACGCACTTCGCAACGCGCGCTATGGTGATTACGCGATGTGGTTTACCGCTTGCACTTCGAAACTACTGAAATGAAGCTAACCGAGCACAGAGTCTCTCCTAACTCATTTGATATATTGTAGTACCATGTGGTCCGTCGCTTATCGCGGTACCGGTTTACACCGACGCAGGAATAAGTGTGCGCGTGTATGACCTAACACGCATTTCTCCCATACACATACAGAGACACTTTAGTAGCGAACAACAGAAAGAAACAAAAATATATACTAAAAAAATGGACAAAGTACTATTTCATATTTCAGATAATATATACTGGCTGTCCTCGTTCCTCGCTCGAGAAACGGGGCTGTAGTTTCGGCAACTGAAAGCAGCGAGACTGCGTGGCTGAGGTCGCAAATCGAGCTAAATCTCGAAAAAAAGAAGAAACACAACCAGACTTGCTCTAAATTATTGCAGTGTAGTTTCCGTTTAATGGAAACAAGATTTATTTCGAAAATAATCTCTCAACTAGACGTTCGACAAGATTCATATGCGCGAATTGTATTGACGTAAAACGCCTTTAAAATTATTGATACTAACGAAAGAATTTTACAGAACTGTGAACCAACGTTAAGATAAATTTTCTCAGTTGCTCCAACTACGTTTTCGTTTTCTGCGGGCGTGGAAAAGTTAGTTCACTGATTTCCTGCCTGACTTTGAGCCTGGGCTGCCCCGAACGTCACGTAGTGTTAGAGAGAACGTGAATGAGGAGCGTCTTTTTATTGCTTTCTGCTCTCAGGAAAAAATAGTATTTTGTTCAATATATATTAAACACGCACGACCGTCCCGTTAGACCGTTTTTAGACGCTCTAGCTGCTATGCCGCGGTTGCTGAAATGGGCTGCCGCCTGCCATCACTTACAATTATTATTATTCTATGTCCCGCCACCCCCGAAAGAAATCCCCGACACTTCCGTTATCTCTCTATCGAAACACCGCACGTATCACGCGTTCGTGTACGAACATGCGAGAGAGAATAATCCGCGATCGATTTGCTTCGATCGTTATCCGTCCGAATTCCTTCCAGCAGCTCTCTCGGTATTCGAGGCATTTCCCTCACATCCCCCTTAGAAGTTAAAAAAAAAATAATAATAGATTTCGCCCGGAATCGACGATCGCAATGACAATGACAGCAATTCAGTGTAAAGTAACGATGTCGTTCGACGAATGTTCGACAAGACGACTCTCGATCGCGGAGGAGCGATCTAATTATAGGGCGAAAAAACGATAATATAAAACGAGCCATATTTCCCCGGAATACATACACATATAGCCACAATGAATCTAATTGGAATACGACGTGACGAGTGATCGGCAAAAACAAGATGCAAAAGTGCACAGAGAACGAAAGAGAGAGCGAAAGGGTGAGAGAACGAGACAAAGCAAAACCACTATAAAGCGACGCGGTACAAAACGAAAAAAAATGTAGTAGTAAGGTAATGTCATACTGCTACGTGGCTGTGATATGTATGTAATATATACGTAAGAGCATAATGCCTATATAACGAGACAAGTATGGATGATTCTTCTAGCTTGGAAAGCAACGTGGCCGACGACGAGTCCTGTTGATTTGGTTCCGTGCAGGGTGCGAGCTCTCCTCGACTTGTTCGTTCGTGCTTTGCCTCTGGCTCACACTGGATAGATGCGCGTGAATATGATATTTTCCCTCTCCGCGCATGAACGGCGTTGTCCAATTTATCCGAAGACACGAGATGGGCAAGGAAAAAAATGCTCGAACGATTCGTCCGCGCATTGTCGAGTATGCTCACGATTTGTATCAGTGGATTTGTATCGGAGCGCATCGTGTTAGTTTTTAGATTCCTCCGATAGACATTCGCGCACAACATGCAAAACAATGCAAAACGCGCCATGGCACGCAATACGTGTAGAGACGGTTTCAAAAGTGCTTTAGAGGGTGTGCCTAAATTTCAACTGCGGGAGTAAAGCGCGCGTGAGTCAGAGGTAAAGATAGATTCGTCATTACTACTATTATTATTACTATTGTCTCTAGATACTTATTTATCTCATACACGATAGGTCGTACACGGTTGAATAGAGATTGGCGGGTAATCACAGCGACCAAGGCCGGATGGTTTTGTTGATTACAGGTCCGCCCGTGGAGGTCGGCGTCACCATGTATGTCCTCAGCATCAGCTCCGTGTCCGAGGTGTTGATGGTACAGTTTGCATTCAAACTCATACAAACTCAACATCGACAATTGTCCGTTCATTTATTTCGTCCAGTCTCGCAAACGATCACCTTCTCCTCTCCCAACCCGCTCGTATCCATCGTATCAAAAAGCGACAACGGGAACGCCCATTTCCGCCCGACACAGCCGTTTTGCATCGCGATAGTCCACGCTCGATCGTAATGCCAAAATTGTGTCGATACCGCTTGAAAAAGAATGTTTAACTTTGACGTTTAATTGGACCGATCATCATACGTCGAGCGTGCCTATCGCGTGGAACCGACGACGCCCACCATCATTGATCAAATCAGCTTACCAGTCGCGCCACTTGCTTCCGATAGAGTATCATCTGTTTCGGTTTGTTTGTTACTGCATAACAATGACACGGATATTCATGTAAAAATATCCATGTCAATCGAAACATATGTAGACTGTCGAAATTTCATTGGTAGATCGTTATATATGTTGTATATGAATGTAATTCAATAAAGTAATAAAAATATCATACGTTCGTGGAGTAGTACATTGACCGAAAAGTCATAGAACGCGTACGGTTAAAAGAAATATATATGTTTTTTTATACGTATTAATTTTGCACGCGTAAAGTCTCATATAAAATAGCATCGTAAACTAGCAATACTTTCGCGTGCTATATGTTCACATCTGCTTAAATCTCGAGTCGTTCTCGATATCTGCTCGCGGAAAGGTGCACCAGGGGAAATACATGCGACTCGCATAGCGATGTTTATGTCGGCAGCAAGAGGCGTATCGACACACAGCCACACGGTATAAGCTATACATATACATATACACATCTCATGTATGTACGTTCGTACACGTGGAGATATATATACACCAGTATATACACACAAGCGACAATAGTACACACACACAGATGGCCTACTAACCTACGTTTTTATAGCTCGTCACAGCTGTTTGGTTGGCTGAACTGTTACAAGGGAACCTTGCTACGTTCCACAGTCTTCGCAAGATATATTCTTGTCCACTTCGTTTATGGTTTATGGTTGAGTCGTTTGATGCGATTTGCGATGTTCTTGTTGCATGGCCCTACCCGCGGTGCTCGAGCCGACGATAAACCGGTGGTTTCGTTTGTCACGCGCGAAGAACCTAACAATAAGTGGAAAAGTTTCAAGAGAGACCCGATGAATGTCATCGTCATCAGCGGAATAGTGACGGCAAACGCACAACCTTTTAATCCCGCGAGAGAACATTAAATCCTCTTCGCGATATCGCGTCGCTGCGAACCATTTCTCGTTCGAAAGGATCGTATTTATGTCAAAAATCCGAGCTCGACTTACCATCTTTCCGGAAAATCCACGAGGCGGAAATCCCATCGGGCTTCTCTCTGTAACACAATATAATATGTGTATTATTGAAAGTCGACTTCCGACTAACGAGGACATATATATATAAGAAAAAATGAAGTATAAGTAATAATAGTAATATCTTATGTTCAATATGTTATTAATTGGCAATGAATTGAATTTCGGATCGAGCACCGTAGGCCGCACCGTTGAGACACGTTCGTATACGCGTGATCGTACACTTTTATGCGGCCACGTCTGTATATATGAAATACATAAAAGTGTACGTACGCGTATCCTGCGTATTGGTACACGTATATCTATATATCTATATATATATATTCGTATTTGTTTCTCAATATTTAAGATATATAGCGGCACCGTACAACATATTGTGTATTACGCCTAATCCTGTAGTAATCGAAGGTATTTTGTTCCGGTATCGACATTCAGATTCAAACTGGCACGAAACTGGATCCATCCTCTATCAAGCGCATCTCGAAGTGCGCTCGGATTGTCGACTCTTAACCCGTTTCTCTGATAACAATTATTTCAGAAATCAAACCGACAGAGGAATCTCTAGTATTCTGACGTAAACTAGTCGTATCAGTCGATCGTCCAAAATTGCAGTGAACGTATTTATACGAATGAAAAGAATGCGAATAGTTCGCGAACTCATTTGTTGACTCTCGGTCTAAAGTGTTCAGAACCTTCGGTTCATGATGAATTCCAGGATAGCGGTAATGTTGACTTACCACAGCCCCCGAAGCACTTGACTCTATCCTACGAGCTTGCGATCGACTATCTCTCTTTCGTGTATATTTGACACGTAATTGTGCGCGGGGAAACGGAACTCGTTCGCCCGAAAGATCCAGAGTACGAGTTTGGAGCTGAATGTACGAGGCTGGACCCCAGGTGTTGAGCCCTGTGCGGAAACCAAATCAAGTCGACACTGTCACCTGGGACGTGACGCGCGAGTTTTTACACCCGCTGGCGAGTTTCCATTCTACGTATCCCTTTCCCTATCTTTTGTCTCGTTTTCCTATCTATCCTCATCGCCAAGCGATGAGCGACTTCCAATAGTTCCAATGTTCATCCCTCGAGGGCCACTCTTTGGACTCTCCGGCCGGCATATCTGCAAACAACGAGACTATTTTCCTACCAATTTATCTTCCCTTTCATCGTTCGCCTTCAAAAAAATTGACGAACATAGGCAGAGAGAATAATACGGTGAAAGCGCCTTTATGCGCTCGTTGATTGTAGTCCTCTCGGCCGGACGAGACCAAGAAAAGAAGGATAAAGCGGGAGTGAAAAAAGCAAGAGAGGATGAGGAGAAAAAGTATCGATAGAAGATACCCCGCGGCCCTCGAAGAACGAAATATTTTTTTTCGCCCTGTACCTCCTTTCCATCCTCGGCCAGCCAATAATTATATACCAAATGAAGAGTATAGCTCGTGCGACGTTGCGACTACATCGAGACTATACTGATATTTATAATTGTATTTGCATATATATCTCGTATATATCTATGCTGTTATATCGTAAATATACTATGACACTTATATGAGCTGTGTCATTGTCAGTGTGTGCAGTGCGCTTCTGGTTGCTATGAATCACGTCACGCTATATATTGTATATATTATGACTTCTCCGAGCGCGAGCGCGTGTTACGTGCACGCGCGCGCGTGTATATATATATGTCCGCGGTATATATATATATATATGTGTGTGTGTATGTACGCGTGTATGTGTGCGTGTATATACGTGCACACGTGCGTTTGTGCGCACGAAAAGCCTGCGTTTATTGTACTGTGTGTACTTCTCGGTGTGCGTATGTGTGTGCGTAACACATGACCATGGGTCTATGTGCTTGCGCGTACACATCGTGATAATTCGCGCTCGTCGAGGCGCGATAGACTCCGAAATGGAGCGTTCCTCCTCGTACGAGCCCCTCTCGCTTCCATCACTTGTTGTACAACACAACGCTACGCCATTTTTTCCATTTTTTTTCTATTCTTCTCTCTCTCTCTCTCTCTCTCTCTTTCTTTCTGGATCAATTGGCCTGCGAGCTTTTGCCTGAAACGCTTCCACAAAGCTTTTCTCTTATTCTTTGTTTTTTATGCTACAATTTGCGTGTAATAGAGATGCTTGCGCACACCTGCTCGCATTCCTCCCGGAAATGTTTCACCGGCAACGAGACGCGCGTACCTGCTCGAATTGCTCGATTTACACCTAAATACATCGCGCAAGATTTGCGTGCCATCGAGATAAACGTGAGAAATATTTTCACGTATAGTTGAACAATAAATAGATACTGTTTACACTGAAATATTTCGGTACTTACAAGACATATTAATTTCACTGCACTTAACAAGTAATATAATTTTGCGCGTTTCCAAATGTAATAACAACTATACATTTTTTTCTAATGTTTCCTCTAAAAGGAAAAGAAATCTTATTGATCTCATTTTTCATAATCATTTTTGACATGTATAAAAAAACAAATAATTTGTGCCGAACAATGCAGCTTGAAAATTGAAAATTACACATGTGAAAAATGGAAAGAAAAATAGGAACTATAATAAGCCAAAAAGGAATAAGAATTTGGAGACGAATTCTCGTAAATGTGTTCGCGTGGGAGTTGTTGATCAGTTAATCATACACGAAGATTTGTTAGCGCGGCAATTACACGTCACGATGTAACCGCAGTGCGCCTGAAGAGTTGCCAGAAATGCGAACGATGACAACTTCTGTTCCACATGGTATCTCCGCGGAATATTTCAAGGTCTTTCATATTCGCCAGAGCATCTGCGCGCATTTAAACCGCAAGATTAATTATCTATCATATATTTTGAATTTTCAAATAGTACGTTACACGTATTATTAACAATATGATGCAATCAAATCGGTACATAAATTATTTTTCATGGCTATTTGCACGATAAAATCATAATCGTTCTTTATTTGTGACTTCAATTAAAGCACAATTAACGATAAAATTTCTAAAATAAATATACGACGGAATAAGCCGAGAAACGTGCCACGCACATTGAATACTTCATAACGACGCGATGTGAATGGCAGGAAAAGTCTTCGCGTATGTGCGCACACGTCGTCGAAGAGGATAACAATGCCTCACCTCGGGTCAAACTCTCTCTCTCTCTCTCTTTCTCTCTTTCTTGTCATGGAACCGTGACATCTTATTAGAGTTATAAAATTCCGAACTTTATTCCTAAAATTCATTCTTTAATATTTTACAATTTTACGCCTGCCGATAAGAACTTCGCTAATAATTATCATAAAATTGGTTGCCAGCATCGTATTTTGCTGATTATTAGCGATTGGACGCACTCACTGCGCACCGGTGCGTATTAAAGCCGTCACAAATTTCCGTAAAGATGTGTTCAATATAAATACAGAAACGGATTAAACCGATTAAACCGTGAAATCCTCAATGCATTTTATTGTGCCGTAGATAAAATATGTATTTTATAATTCGAAATACTTGTATCTCACTTTTACACCCAGATTAAGTCAGTATACAACGGTTTTAATATGACAAATGCGCACTAGTGCGTTCAACTGAATTCGCTATATATAATTGAGCGATAAAAGGTGAGCAAACAAAATAAGATAAAAAATAAAAATTTAATTATAATTCCTAAAAAGTTGAATCTTACTATATACATTTCGCAATAAACTTAATTCTCTACATTTTTAATTGTGAATCATAAGATTCAAAGAATTCATTTCAGAGATAGTAGAGAGAGTTTCTGCACCGTTTTATAATCGTCGTTATTTAAATACGTCATGTTCCATGTCTACGTAGAAAAAGAAGAAATTATCCATAAGTATTAAATTAACATTCATTATTAGAGACTTTTTTATAAAGACGATACGCTAAGATAACGATTGGAAATTTCAAAGGTGCTATACTATCCGCAATACAACACTGTCCTCATCCAGCGTGCAGTGCATGAATTTTATGGCAGTTCCGTAGCATGTCTGTACATAGTGATTTCGTCGTAAAATACCTGTTTTAGATATATGTATATATATATATATATATATTTATGTAGTCACTATACATACACGTCTCCACACCTTATCTCGTTCGCGTGTACACACGAATTATACTCGCGTCGCGAAACTCCTGTCCTGTGATTGAACCCACGTCGGCAGGAATCTCGATGCTCACGAGGCGTGCAGGTCACGCGTATGTTCTCGCGTAAGATTACGAGTCATAATCGTGCCTAGCATCGTAATTATAAACTATTAACTCACTATCGTAACTGTGCGCTTACAGGCAGGCTTGTATCAGATTCTTAACGTGGTCTTTGTAATATAAGACTAATTAGAAACAATTGTGTGATAGTGAAACAACTGCGATATTACAGTAATAAATCAAATGAAATAGCATGTTTTATCAAAAAGGAATTACAACGTTATGATCAGCACATGGATATTTTAAACTAATTAAAAAATAGTAAAATATTTAAAAATAGAAAAATATTTAATTTGTTAAAGAAATATAGCAATCGTGTATATCTATCCATATTATCAAATGACGCAAAAAATCATAATATAATTTTCTTTATATTTTGTACGCTAGACTTAAACTGTAGCTTGTTTAAAATCTTCAATCAATTATAATTTAATAATTATCAAATTCTGTTATAGTTTAATCCAGCAATACAGTAAGGTAACAAAACCTTGTGATATCAAGCAAGTTTTAAACATGTTCTACTCAGGATTTCTTGCTATAATAGGAAGGCGATTAAGAAACTTCTACTTTGGATAATAAATCTACTCATTTATTTCAGTCAGTTCAGTACTTCAACTTCCGCATCCATACGAATAAAGATTTCAGCGAAATCGGCAGCGGAGCAATTTAGAAAGTTCACGACATTGCCAACGAGTTTATGTCGGCATAATAACGTATTATTTGCATTGTATTATAGTGAATTCAGTCACTTGTATTATAGATATTGGATCAGTATACATTAAATTATATAAAATAAAATGTAGAGACATAATATAATCAATTTTGACAATAAAATGATACATGTAAATTCCATTAAATGAAAATGACGTTACTGGATACTTAATTGTTTAAAATATTTACATCTATGCTTTTTTACGTTTAATTTTGCTCATTTCATAAAAGCTTTTAGTATGCACTAATTTAGTGTAATGCAAGTAATCAAATTTACTATTAGATAATTAGAATTATTGTCATCATCTTCATATATGGAAATAATTTCTTGATATCTTCCGATTATTTCCATTGCAATTATGAAAGCTTAAAGTTCATCTCTTTTATTATTATAGTGTTTTTGTAGTATTATAAAGGCTAAAGTTTCACATAAATCATCGTCAACGGTGAATAATTATAAAATCTCTAATTTAATTTTATTTAATTTATATGCGTAATTTCTATCTGTTTAAACTAAATTCTCTTGTCGCGTGTAATACGTATTGGTGCGCAAATTATTTGTTAAAGAAATTAAATTTAATAAATAAAAATATTTGTCAGACTCGCGTTTAATATAATACCGTAAGGATTTGGAATAATGGAATAGCGTGGTCGTCAATCACGGTTTACCCGAAATCACTTTCGTCCGAGTTGCTCTCACACGTCGCTCAAGCCTGAGGATAAACGCTCTTGCGAGTGTGAGACCCAATGATGGAGCGTTCTACAAAGCTCTCGAAGTTACCATCGCAACTTTGGACTTTATAGCCGCGCCGCACCGAATTAGCCTCGCTTCATTTCACAGCGTGAGGTCAAGTAGAACACCGGAGGAGGTCTGGATATAGGGTCACGTAAACGTTAAGTGGCCGATTCTTCGTATTACGATAACACGATGAGCCGCCTCGTATAAGTTTTCGGAGATGCCTGTCGACGTACGCGATCCCGAACATGTTTCCTCTCCCGAACTTTAATTCTCCTTGCACTCGTAAACGCGGGCGGCTGAATTATATCACAATTGTTATTTACCTGGCACAATTTTGCGTTCCTTCGCGTAGAAACGCATATGTCTTTTCAATCTCTTCAAATTTTATACGCTCAGACTCATGAGAACAACGAGGACTAACGTAGCATTTCAAATTGACTTTTATATGCTCTGTTCAAAAGGTTATGCAAACATCAAAAACGCTTCTTAATATTTCTAATAATTAATTAACAAATTATTCATTGAAATTAAATTCATTAAATTAATTTGACAATAAGAAAAGTGCATTTTATGAGTTATTGATATTTTTATACTATTCAAATATCTGTTTTGAAAATGCAAGTAATATTAAATGAGTTTTTAATTATCTTTAAAAAATATAAATATGGATTTTAAATTGTGGCAATGTTCATATAATTCTCATCATGTTGATGTTAATATTTACAACATGATGTGGATTTAAAACCTCCGATATTTATATTGACACCGTCATGGCGTGATATTAAAATCTATGGTATTAATCTGCACCATGTTGATTAATATTTAACACTAATATGGTGAAAATTATTATACATATAGACATGTTAAATCCATAATCATATTTTTAAAAATGTGTAATATTTATACGTTATTATATTTATTTCATTATTAAATTATTAAATTATTCTCATATTATATTTTTTGGAACAATGCAGTCAGTGTAACACAAGAGCGTATCTCTAAAAGAAATCGAGTATATTAAAAATTGAAATTATATTTTAAAAGTATATTATATTTGCTAAAATGCATTTACTTAGTTACGGCATCCAATCACCATTATCATTAATTATAATTAATATTATCTGTCATCATGTTTTTTTATAAAATTTTCATAAATGTAAAAGTGACATTGATCAATGGATTGGCCTTCCCAATTTCCGGACGCAAATCCGATTAAAAATATCTGATCAATCATAAAGATGAATATGCTTTGAGGAATACGAATATTTGTTTTGAAGTAGTTATCTTTGGCATTTACCCAAGCATTTTTGATTTTTACCCAAATCTTTAACCGAAAATCATAGGAAGCATGTCATAACTAAGTAAATACATTTTAGTGAATGTAATGTATTTTTAAAATATAACTTTAATTTTTTTAATATACTGTGTTTCTTTTAGAGAAAAACTGCCAACTACACTCTTGTGTCACTAACTGCACACATTATATAAAAATTTTTATTTAAAAGATACTGTTAATAATAGTAACAATAACTCAGCAAATTGCACATCAGTTTTCGGAGCAATCATAAAAATATAATAAAAAAATACGAAAAGGCTTACGTGAATCCTCGTATTTCTCTAATATATCTGTGAACACAAACGACTACCAATCTAATAAGTCACCTGTGTCGTACCAGGACTTCACGTTGGATTTTTACTTCCGACAATTCTGGACGGACCCACGACTCGCGTTCAAGCCGCGACCGGGCGTCGAGACGCTCAGCGTTGGTTCAGAATTCATCAAGAACATTTGGGTACCCGACACCTTCTTCGTCAACGAGAAGCAGTCATACTTTCACATCGCTACCACCAGCAACGAGTTCATTCGTATTCACCACTCGGGAAGCATCACGCGTAGCATACGGTGAGTATAGCATTAATTAAGTAATAAATTTATCCGTAGCACAGTTATATATACACACATATATTATACATACACATAACTTTTACAAATTTTTTTTATAATGAATCCAAGTTTAAAAGTCATCTAAGTGGATCTTTTTTTTCTACCATAATGACAACGCTCAATTTAGATGATAATTAAAAAAAGAAAAAATATATGCTACGTTGGACAAGCAATAAAGGTTAAAAGGTCTTTCTTTCTACATTCATGAGTCAATTAAGTAAATTTAATTCTAAACTGTTACTTTTATCGTCCGAGAGAAAACGTACATGGTATTTTTCGTCGAACCGTAAATCGAGCTTCTCATTGTCCTCTATCACCATAGAACATTCGTGGCACTTCTGGGACCAATTGTACTCGGCACGACAAATTTGTTCCCTGTAGCGGCCTCCACCCCTTCTTGTCTGACACAGCTCGTATCATTTCTCGTATCTATCTCCCTTTCGAGCGCCCAGGAGTATTCTGGTATTAACGCGCCGGCTATATTCAAGCGATCCATGCATACCTAACTTGCACTCCCTCGCGCAATATCGTTCCATTATATTACATCCTCGACTTCCGGATCGGAAGTACCGAATCGAGCCGCTCGCTGTCGGGAACGGAGGAAGAATATCGATGAAGCAACGAGCACGCGCTCATTTGCGTGAATAATTCTTCCCTGCTTCTCTCAGAGCATAAGTCATCGATCACTGTCTGCATGTACGAATCATGCGAATACATACGTCTGTAGCGTTTTATATAATACATCTCATCGACAAGACAAGAATAGTATTAACGGTACGCATCGAATCGATATGGATTGATTCTCATACGTTTATCCTGACGTGACTCGGGCGTAATGAGGTCGACTACGAATTAATTCCTGCACATTGATTCAACGTTACTCGGGTGCAAATGGATTGGCATTTGTATATCATGAAATATTTTGTTGAGAAGCAATTGTTAACGAGTTTTGCTTGAATATGTTTCAGCTTAACGATTACAAACGTGTCCCATGAACTTGCAATATTTCCCGATGGACCGGCAACTATGTCATATCGAGATCGAGAGCTGTAAGTACGCAACACGCGCGTATGTATATATATATATACTTATATATATTATATAGATGCATACAAACGAACGAAATATAATTTCACAGAATTCGACATTTTCGCCTACTTCTATTCGACATAGGATAGAGCGGGGCTTTTTCGTTCATTTCTCACGATAATGTTTACGATTCTGAACAGCATATGCTGATTATTTAAAGATTGTACTTGTGCTCTCAAGGAGTAATCATGACTGTATAATGTAATTATAAGCATTGCAAAAAGATATTGTTTACTATCGTAAATTTTCGTATATATTACCTACTTTAAAGTTGAAACTGGAATAGTCCCACTCTATCCTACTAACATACACATACTTTTACGCATATTATAACAGAAGTCAGAAAGACTTTCCTATGCACTTCGACAATATATTACTTCTCAAAATGACAATCGACTCGCCGTATCTTTTTGACGTCAATCATCGAGCACGTGCACGTAACTTTAAAAGAGAAAAATTATTGCCAAAAGCTTCTAATAAATACAGAGTGAATCAACGTAAACGTAATTCAACATGTAAGATGTTATTATAATATTCCTTTTTTATTGAACTTATTATTATATCGTAAAGCTGTTAAACATAATAGCGTCATTTGATAGAAATAACAATTGAGATCTTTGAGAAATGATTATCAGTAGTATCAATTGTATCTCTGAAAAAGTCTGCAATGTCACTCTAGCGTTGTGATTAGCCATATATCCGATTGGCCATATCTACTGTTCTCGCTGAAGCAGATTGTAAAACACGAACGATCAATTCCAGCATGTGAACTCGTGCATGTAACTCGAGGATAACGCCGAAAGCGATACGTAGAAAGTATCCTTATCGATAGCCGATTGTCGCTGATTCAATGCGATTCAATTGTACATCGCTCTGAACCCTTTTTTTCAGATAAAGACATAGAAAGACGCTTCTACTGTGTATATTTGCGTCAAGCATTAAAAAGAAAGGAAACTTTGTGTTCCCTCTTTATTACACGCTCACACAGAGAATACTGTCAACTTCCACAACCCGTCACTCTCCATTTTTCCTCCCTCCCTTCTTCCTCCCCCAACTGTATATGCTTCCCCTCTCGCCTTTTTCCCGACATCAGGTTTTACTTCCTTCTTTCTTTTCTATCTTTTCCTCTCTATCTGTCTATCTGTCTGTCTGTCTGTCCGTCACTCGCCACTTCACACGCTCACTCACACGATCAGTCAACCACACAAGTGAGAATCACTCCCATTCACCTCGTTCACTCACTCGCTCACTCACCCGCTCTCGCTCACACACTGGTTGGGTTTCTTTTTTTATTCCATACACAGTGATTGTACGTATGTAACAACATGGACTTGCAGAATCGGACATTTATTGCAGCCTCTTCCTTTTCACTTTTCTCTCCCAAAGCGCGCGCGAAAGTCAATGAAAAAAAAGTGAATATACGATTTAAGTAATCCAATAAATTCTTTCTTCTCCTCTAAATCCTACGAAATAAAAAGAGAGAGAATGATTCTCTTTAAGATTAATAATGCACTCACAACTGGAACCGAAAAGCACATGTAATCTCATTTTACTTTGTTTCACGCAGTATGATTTAACAATAATAAAAGCCCGATTCTGTTACTTCTGAGCACAGTGTGCGGTCAATAAGCACCTTAATAAGGAGCTTCGATGCGCCGTGCCGTTACAATGGCCTCTGTATCGATGCGCGCACTGTATACGCAACTGAGTCGTCGACGAAACACGTCTCGATTAATCGAGTCGCTCCGTTAGACTATAAGCATAGAAATCATAGGTTGACCAGGAGCTATGATGCGCCGTGGGAACATCCCAATGCGCGGAAACACATACGAGAAGATCACGTACGTGTGTGTGAGTATGAGTGCTAGTGTGAATGCGAGTTTGTGCGCGCGCGCGTGTGTGTGTGTGTGTACGTCAAAGTGTGTGGTAGCGCTAACGTTTCACTGTCACGAGCTCGTGTTGATTGCCGTCACTGCAAATTGCACGGTGTGTTAATGTACAAAAAGGCAAGAGAATTTCAAACGTCCCTTTCAGAATTGTTTCGCCATTTATACTCATACGCGTTTACATCGTGAAATAACTACCGTTATTCATTAATACTGGTATTAATAATTCATGTATACGAGAACACGCGTACTGCGCAAATTACCTGAATAAGTCAACGCAATACGGTCAGATTGAAATCAGCATCGTAATGATGATTATATAATGCATAATTAAAAATATGCACAAACAAACCACATATAATAATAATCGCATTCATAACGTATTTTTACAGAAATGCAAATGCAAGATTTGTAAGAGCAAAATTTTGAGATGCTGAAAGTGGTTAACGTTAATAATTGCACGCTTCTCATTTGACATCTTCGGTCGTGCTAGACATACGGAAACCATACTGATTTATACAGAATGATGGAAAAAGTTTGTCTTCAACTCACCCCCGCTAAAAGATCTATATTAAAACTCAGTCGGTCGTGGAATAGGGTCGAAGGGTCACCGGAAGTCCGGCATACGAGATACCGCAGGGAGTCCGACCAAGTTAGTCGATTAGTTTCATCGAGTAGAAAGCTCGGACTTTCGCGGACGCCCTTTCGTCTTTAATTGGTCGGACTGCTCGAATACAAGTTATTACGATCGTTATAAGTTGTCGTGATACATTCCCATCACGAATTACGGGAGAATGCTCGCACAAATCGTTAAACTTTCGAGATGATTCGTAAGATTTACAGGCTTTCATTAACTTTTACTTAACTTCAACTGAATCTTTGTCGTTTTCTAATCGAAGTTTCCCACAAAGAAATAAACAGGCAACCAAACCTCAACGAAAGTTAATCAATGTCAATAGAATTGATTACTAAGAAGATAAATATCGCTTTGTGCCGTAAAACAATTAAGATTAATAATTTGATTTAATATTTCTAAAAGCTTTTAAGACTTTATTTCACAGATACATATTCACTAATCTTAACACATTATTCTTTACTTAGAAACTACCAAGGGATGTAAGCTAATAATATTACGGTCGCAATTCTCATGTGGTTCAACTTTATGATTGGCCCAAATTCTTGGTTTCTATTTATAATCGTAAATTCGATTTGATAGACGTTTCTGAGTGCGAATTTTGCTTGAAACGTATCGCGGCCGATGAGATCTATAAAAAGAAAAGACAGAAAGGCGCCGAATTTGTAGAACTCTGGAGAGTTTCTTGATTAGTTTCAGATAGAAAAGTGTCGGGTCACGAACATCGTTTCGCTCTTAATTTAGCCATTAAACGGGATATTATTACCTCTCATGATATCGATTTTGTATCTCCACGATGTTGAACAAGGATACTATTTTGCGAGTATTTTTGCAATCGTCAATTTCTCATGGTCTTTCAACATACGAGCGAAGTAAAATTACTCTCATCTTATCTTACTCTCATGTTTCACTAAATCCATTTCGTAAAATATACAGAATCGTGCAGTACCATAACCAAGGATGAGAGCAGACGTGCAATTTGCAGTAATCACAGATCATGGCAGATCGCATATCGTTACCGCATATGCTCGTCGACACGAAACGACTGCGACTTTCACGGGAAAAAGCGATAAAAATTCGAATTCTGCATTTCTCGTGAGATAGCTTCAATCATTAAAAAAGAAAAAGCGATACGCATCAAATCCAACTATCAATACGTTTACAGGACACGCTTTGTCACATCCTACGCAAAGACCGTATGCGAACGTATTTACGAGCATCCTCCGAAGGGTCTCCACTCTACCAAGCTATCGCTGACCTTGAGTCGTCACGTCGGTCTTAGTTGAACGCGTGATTTCTCGAAGATCGCTCGGTCATTCGACAAATGAATACGAATAATGACCGTGTGCACGTACCTGCCATCGAATATCTAAATACACACGACGTGTCCTCTTTCTACACTCTGTCGCCTGTCAAAGAAAAATTTCTCGTGGATTACATACGTGCATACGTACAATAATAACAGTCACATTAAAATTATAATAATCATTCATCAAGGTACTGCATGAATTGAGCGAACATCTTTTATTTTATGACTCGACAATAACAGAAATATTGAGTAAAACGTATGTAGTCCACGTACGTAACGAATACATCTATATAGAGAATGGAATCCGTTCCATCTACGAGATTGACGGTGATTTCCTGCGGAAAAGACCTATATGTTCAGGGAGAGAGAGATCACGCTGAACTAGATATATACCACCGAAGCACACGCACGATTGTAAATATATACAAACGAGAGCTCTCGGCGCGCAGTCGCCGTAAATCGACCCCGAGAAAAACGCGACGAAAGTGCGCTGTTCAAACACTATCACTACTTTGCCACTCTCTCACCACTACCACTGACCACCACCGCCATCACTTAACTTATCACTTTATCAACCCTCCTCCCCCGAACCTGAAGGGCCTCCGACATATAGCACTGAGCCTCGTGTCCGGGGACGTAGTAAGGGCCGACGACGGCCAGCCCCGAAGGAGGCTAAATCCAAAAACGACGTGTCGACAATGGTCCGACCGAATTAAAACGCATTGTGCATCTAGCCCAGCGCATGTAAGAAAGAAAATACTGCAACATTACCCATGGCGTACCAGGCTGTGGTCACGTTATCGGTATGCCTATGAATTTGCTTGTAACCTGATTTTGATCTGCGACTTGTTCCGGTATACGTCCTTACTCCCCGACCCGCCCTCTGAGCAACTTTTGTACGTATAGTAGAGCAATAGATATTATCTAATATACATATATAGTGCGACAACCGCATGTGTCGGCATGATTATTTAATTTGGTCTACCTCAGAACAGGATAAAAAAAAATAAGTAAGTGATATATTTAAAGGTATATAGTTCGTGTTACTTTTCTTTTTCTTTTTCGTAATGACGATAATTGTCTGTTGAAAAATTTTTTTAAGAGATTTAACTTCTACATAAAATTATCATTTTAAAGATTTTTTGTGTAATTTTTCATCAGTAATAATTGATGAATGACAGATAAATCGCACTTTCCAGGAATTTCTACACTCTAGATTTAGATTATTACATTACGTAAAAGTAAAAGAATCATCACAGGAACGCAATTCCTTCTTGATGTACATACACAAATGCCTGATTTATTGAATCCTAATTCAGACCTCGATAATTCGAAAAGGTCTCAATAATATCATTCAGGGATAATGTTTGAATTTTAATGGGACCGTAAAGCCAGTATTCGAAATTCGAATTTCTTGCAAAACACAGAGCATGGAGAATGGAGCATGTAGCATGGAGCATGCAGGTGAAATGCGCAGCGTAAAGCATGTAGCACACACATATATATATATATATGTGTGTATTTATGTAAATTTAAACATGTAAACCTAATCCTCCCGAGCCTGTATCACTGTAGCATGTCAAGCACAAAACTCTATTTTTTCTTTCTGCTTTTTTTCTCCATATCTACTTATACACTCTCCACTTTTCGTCTTAAACCCTTAAACTTGCTGCCACTACCATAGTCCTCGGTATTTTGCTAATGTTGCCGCAGTCCTTTTCCTTGCAGTATTCAACAGCCACTATCACGACCTTCCTCTCGTTCTCTTCTGACCTTTTTACCCCTCGTGATGCTTAATGTTGCCCCCAATCCAGGACTTCTTTATTAAAACTTTGTAAAATCAATTTTTATCTAAGCTGCACTCAACTATGCGACGACCATCGGCAGAAATAACAAACGAATGAACGAACAAATGCACGTAAATTTCATTTTCGTAAATATTTTTTTAGACGTGGTTATTCTTGCTCGCGAATGTAATTTCTTAATTGTATAAATTTTTAAATTTATTTGCAAGTAGTATAATGAATATTTGTAATAAGAAATGCAATTAAACGTGAAAAAAGAAATTAAATATTGTATAAAATATATCTAAGACAATGTGTGTAAAACGTCAGCTTCACTATTCTCTTATTAATGTAACAAGTATAAATTTTTATGTTGAACGCTGCGAGTAAATAAAACTTACAATAGTAGTTTCTAGAGTTTCGAATCGTTAGTATTGAACACGCCTGTTGCGAATCATAATGTCATTACCGAAATCGTGATTTTGCGCGACGCCGCATGCAACTGTGTCCGCTGTGCAGAATCGCGGCGTACCGAACATGATAAAACGAGATGGTATTCAAAATCGGATTCCAAAAACAAAAGCAATTAATCTAGCACATTCGGAGGCGTACCGCTTAATCCACGTTTGGCCGATGCTCGCGCAATGTAGCCACCACCGCGACGGAATGCCACTTTGGTGCCTGGAATGCGGTGTAACGATCGTAATCACCTAAGATTCAGTTACGGAGGAATGTTTCTCGATGCGGTATGTACGCGTTGGAGGCCGCGCGGAGGAATTAGAGAGAACAAATAAGCGCAAATTATGATCGATAATCGTCAAAACTCGCAGGATACTTTGGATTAGTAGGAATGAACAATAGATAAGTCGCCAAGATTGGCACGTTGCATTTATCTCACAGAGAGAGAATCTTTATCTCACAATGCAAAGAAGAATATCATTGATTGACGTTAATCTCCGCGCGGTCTTGGACGTAATGACCGTAAATTCGGTTTTAAAAACATCATAGACGCTATTCAGAAGGCATTATTTTATAATTAAAAAATCAATTAATAAAAATGAATCAATGTAAAAAATTCCAAACTCTTTTTATATAAATAAGGTAATATAAACAGCCAAAACTCATACAAGATAAAACTGTCTCTATATATACTTACATCATAAATTTAAACTTTAATATAAGAAGAGATTCAGAATTCACAACAACTCTTCTCTTTATGATATTAGTTTTATGAAAAAATTTTAGAGTACTCTTTTCGAACTTTTGAAAAATCACGAATGACTGTTAAGATATCACAATGTCTATCTCAATGACGTTTATGATACGATGGCACGAAGAGCATCCTAAATCGATTCCACGTGAAAAGAAATTTATGCGATGAAATTGAATCGTGATGCAACGGGAACCGCTTTAGGTTGCTCGCGCAATAAGTTTGCTTCAATTACTGTATTCCCCGAGGAACCCGCCCTTCCGTTCCAAACTGAACACTACCTCAGTGTCTAATTATTGTATGTTAGAGCGAAGATATTTGTGTTCTTGTTCTCCCGGCAGTTGGATACACAATGCGCGATATTCGGTACAAATGGAACTCCGGCCTACAGTCGGTCGGCATCTCGAACGAGGTGGAACTACCGCAGTTTCGCGTGCTCGGTCACAGGCAACGACAGACAACCATACACCTATCTACAGGTAGATATTCCCCTCTTATTCGTTCTTCCTTCTAAACTTGATCCAGAAATTCGCGTGGTTAACATATGTATGTATATATATTATGTAGAAATGTCGATTATATAATTATCATAATAAATCATAATAAATAAACCCATCAGAGCGAGATGGTAAAATTTTTTCGTTTTAAAGATATATGAGAATATGCACTATATTCATACGGATGATTATGACATGTCCAGCTCTGATCAAAGCACATGTATATATACAAATATATATATAAAATGCAACGAGAACTGGACAAGTCATGTGTGAGCATATATACATATATAATACGAATCCTGTTTTTATCCGCATCGATATGCACCGATCACTGTGTTATCTTTTCGCGAACACATTTAATTATATAAGAACGAGCTTGCTCAGTGGGACGACGTAGTCCTACGGTCATTCATTTCGACCGATCGACTGATCGACTCATTGATTTTTATTTTAAAAATCCTTAAAAATATTAAGAAAGACGCAGACGATACTTGAGTCACGCGTACCCATAATTCCTAGATTTGGTTTCCTTCTTCATTATAGATGTGTGTATGTGTGTGTATGTGTGGACGTTGTACTATTTTTATTTTTACTACCATTGTGTATCAATACTGAAAGATGAAACATTTTGCTCTACTAGAACTTTAAATTTAGATTTCCTTTCAATGCGCGGATAATGGATTTCCATAGCTTTATAACATACGTACTATTGAGCATATAAATTGCTTCAGGAATAGTATTACGTCCACCTTTGACCTAATATCCACCATCCACAATCATCACCATCAAAACAATAATCGACACAACGGACTCGTAAATACGAATGATACGCGCCTTCCACTTCTCGATCGTAACCAACAATCGAGAAGATCGTCCATTACGATCTCTCATTACACGCCAAATATTCCGCCCACATGCTCCTTTAAAGTCAGTTTAATTTGGGCTCTCGATAGCTCTCTTCGCAAGGGTATCCCTCATAGAGAAAGACAGAGAGTAAGATAAACTGAGAGAGACAGATAGATAAAAAGAAAGAAAAGAACGAAAATTGTGAACAAAGAGAAAGGGGAAAAAGTGAAAGAGAGCGGACTCGTAAGGTTTGATGGGGGTGCGAGGTAAGTGGAGGCCCCCTCGGAGCTGAAATGCGTTTGAGGGCTTCCGCGAAGGTACGTACCAACCGCGGGGGGTCTCTCTATTTTTTCAGTCGGATACACGATGAGGGACATCCGGTACAAGTGGAACGAGGGCCCAAACAGCGTCGGGGTCAGCAACGAGGTCTCCCTGCCTCAATTCAAGGTCCTCGGTCATCGTCAACGTGCCATGGAGATTAGTCTTACCACCGGTAACGTATAAACATAACCCCACCCCCCACCACCAACAAATAATTGTTCAACCCTCGCTTTTAACGGCATGGGTAAGGTGGAGAGACACGTGAGCGCTATCCGATGTCCGCAGGCGCAATTGTCGCTCGTAAGAAAAACCGTCGTAATCCTGTGTACCTTACTTACGTAAAGCCGTCGATCGATCGATCGATCTCTCTCTTTCTCGCGATCTCGCGCGTCATACAGTCCCGTCAAATAGTGGAGCTGGCTGGCGTTGTACGGATCGCTGGCTTAAACTTTTCTCGCGTTCGGCAGCGATAAGTTTCCTCGAAAAATCATCGCTACATTTCTCCACTTGGTTTGAATGAAACTTTGGGCGAGCGAAATTGTCTTCATACTGACATCATGGTGCTCCAACGTCAATCTCTCAAGCCAGTTTCTCGTAACACGAGCAAGTTTAAGATTGTATGCTCAACGATGTAACATATATCCTTCAGCTGAGGACGATTTTAGCATTTGTGATTTTTCTCATAAACATTAAGCCTTTCATTCTTCGATATTATTCTCTAATTACATCGAAGGTAATGATGAAAAAATAAAATAATGTTATTCATATCATCTTAATAACAAAACCAATATCTCTTTCTCGATCCTATAGATATATCTTTTCGCGCGATAATGGCGCGTAAGAAATAGATTGTCGCCAATTTGTCAAAACGGAAGAAAGCCATTATAGGGTGCAAATTGCAACAAGAACAACTCGATTTTCCATTTTAATCGATTCCTCACTTTTCTTCTTATGTAACTACATCTCAAACCTTTCGATCGGCGCACAATACACGCCGCCAATATACCTCACTGTAACGTGCATGCATGCATATCTACACTGACAGACGTACATAACACGAGCACGAAGAGTCGCGCATCAACGATGCGAATTTCACTTAACATCCAGCCAGCTCTGGTGCGCTGTATTTCCGGCCGGTGCAAGGAATAGAGAGAGCTATTTGTGAACAATGAAACCGCTTTTCCTGGTAAAATCCAGTGACGGAACGGGAGATCGAGCAAGAAGAACGGAGATCGAAGGTAGAAGAGCACAACGAACGAATAAGAAGCGGGAGAGAGAGACAGAAAAAAACAAAGAGGGAGAAAGAGAGAAAGAGAGAGAGATATATATATATATATATACAAGGAAAGAGAAAGCGAGAAAGAGAGAGAGATAAACGAACAGTGAGGAGGAAGGACAGTGAGCACGGGAGATAAAGAGACATTAAATAGCGCCTCTCCGTCTCCCTGTCCTGACCTTCGATCTTTTAATCGTAGGGAATTACTCGCGACTGGCCTGCGAGATCCAGTTCGTACGGTCGATGGGCTACTACCTGATCCAGATCTACATACCCTCAGGGCTGATTGTCATAATATCGTGGGTGAGCTTTTGGCTAAACCGAAACGCGACCCCCGCTCGGGTGGCCCTCGGAGTAACCACTGTGCTCACTATGACGACCCTAATGTCCTCGACGAACGCGGCGCTACCAAAGATCTCCTACGTCAAGTCCATCGACGTCTATCTGGGCACCTGCTTCGTCATGGTCTTTGCCTCGTTGCTCGGTGAGTGCGATCGTGTACTCTTCCGTGCCTTTACGTCGCTGCCATTAAGCTTTCCATCCTGCGTCCTCTCATATACTCCGTATAGCTCGGAGCCGTGCCGTTCCAGTAGCGAGCTCGTAGAGTATCGTAGACGGATACTTGTGCAGGGCTCACGTGACAAATGCAAGGGACCCATTTTCCTCGAAATCGTTATTTGTCGTCGATGACGTTGATACTTTGTCGGTCCGAACCTTCGTTCCGCGATGGAACGGCGTCTCGGAAATTGTTTTCATGAAGCAATCGCGAAACACACAGAGGCAGGTCAATGCGAATAAGAGAACCCCGCGGCTTTGTTCGATCGATTCGTTACACGGCTTGACACACACATTGTTGCGTTTTCACAACTGCGATTGCGAGTACCTCATTACATACGACATCAAGGTACTTCGCCGTCGCGGTGCATCGGGATTTCCAGGGAAATGGCTTTCTTCCATCTGCACGTGAGCTCTACACAAGTACCGGGAGCGCAAGCATGAGTGAGATTCTCGACGGATGGAAGTGGGCCCCGCGAACCGGGCTTCCCGCCCGGATCTTACAGTGGCAGACGTGTCATGGCATTGTATGGTTACGTGTTTTCATTCCCGTGGATTCTTATTCTTCGCAGAGTACGCCACGGTGGGCTACATGGCGAAGAGGATTCAGATGCGGAAGAATCGGTTCCAAAAGATAGCCGAGAGCATGAAGGCGGCGAGCGAAAATCCAGGACCGCCGCGCGTGCCCGGCGATCATGGCGATCATGCGCCTAAGCAAACTGTGAGTAGCGACGGCCAAGATTGTCGTCGTTCCCGAATTTTTTTCTTCCATGCAGAATGTCGTTTTGTCACTGTGTATGACCAGGAGATCCAGACGTACTAGTGCTCCCCTGGACGATTTTACACGCTTTCTTTCAGCGAGTAGACGATCGGCTCTGTCAAGATATCCAGATGTCCCGATCGTGGCACGATTACAGATTTATGCATAATCGTAGCACTTGTTTCATAACTTTTTGGCTCCCGAGAGCTGTGTAATGATATAAACATACACATACAACAAATATCATCTGTTTCACCTTCATCAATGATGAAGGAAGTCTCAAATAAAAAATTAATCTTAAATGATGATTAATCTTAAATATTAAACAACTATATATAATATTGAATCATGTAGTAATCGCCATTAAAAACTAAATTTAATAAATGATGCTAAATGAATCTTTAATAAATATCAATAAACAAATATTAGAGCTTATCAAGCTCTTTTTCCTCATCACAAGGGCAGGCTCAACAGGACGAAGCCGAGCATTATTCTCGATCCGATTCAGCACGTATCATCGCGCAATATAAATATATGCACTCTACCCCCTCCCTCTTAAAAAAAAAAAAAAAAAACTAAACCGGCAGGCTCAACACACGAAAGGTCAAAAGCTAAAAGGTTCTGCAAAATGAATTTCCCATTCGGCCGCGCAACGCGCCGGACAACGTGCTTCATGCCAACACGAACACGACGCACTATAAATTTTCTTTTAATCTTGGGTATTGTAGATCCCTCTTCCCTTTCCTCTCTTCTGAAAACAGAAAATATTAAAAGACCAGAAAAGAAAGAGAACAATGTAGGATAACGGAAAGAAGTGAGTAAACGAGCGACAGAGATGAACGGAACGGACAACGAAGGACGGTCATAAAATGTCGGATAAGAGGATGAGACGTTTTAATTAATTATTATTACAAAGTTAATTATTCATGTTATCCAGCGGTAAATGCCTATGACATGCGCGTTTTTTTACATGATTCTTTTAATTACGTACTTGATAATTACATTCTATTTCCTTCGAGACTTTTATACTTTAGAGTTACTGTTTTCGAAATACAAAAATCAAATCTAATATCTTTGATTATGTGTTAACGTTATTCTTTCAAATGCATATTAATATTTTATTAAAATTTAATCAATAATGAAAATAACTATTAAAAATATTTGACAGTCTTACAACTTCCTGCAACAATCCCATTTTACATCAAATAAATATAAATCTTCTATAATAACGGAATGACCAATGATTATGGACCAGCAACTAATAATAATAATAATTCTCCCACATCTCATCCCGACAATACCTATATCAACTAGCATCACATACTACACCAGCTTTTAATTGAATTTTCACCAACCCGTTTTGCTTGAGCACGAGCAATCGCACCGCGCGTTTCTACAAACCGCGGTACTTTTACGAGAGACTTTTCCTATTTCACACTTAAACGTTTGTCGAATAAACTAAGCAGACGCGAGTCGCAACAGCGACATAAAAGCAGGTGAGTCTCTCGAATACCAATCGTTCCGATGACTACGTAAAATCGGACGTCACCGCGTTGAACAAATAAAATATACACTGCCCAGTCCTCGGTGTCGCATGCAAATCTGACAAAGTACGGGGTAAACCTCGGGTGAGGGACACCCCACGGCAAACTGCCGTGTCTCTTGTAAGTGGTCCCATGTTGTCCAGGAGGTGCGGTTCAAGGTGCACGACCCAAAGGCACACAGCAAAGGTGGGACGCTCGAGAACACCATAAATGGTCGCGCCGATGAAGAATCGGCGGGCGCGCCACAACATATTATTCATCCTAGCAAGGACATCACCAAGCTCTACGGTATGAGTAGACCATGTACGCACATTTATAACACTATTTTACCCCCCGCCTGGCAAGCTATCAAACAATATTCGGTTCTTAGCTTGGCAGGCTGTCTATTTCAACGAGCTTCTGAACGGTGCATAATAAACGTTACTGTACGGTTTAACCGTCAGCGAGCTCGGAAGGCCACTGGCGTGGTGTCATCATCGCGAGTAAAGGGCCTGACAAGGCCGTCAATTGTGCAATATGGATATCGAGTACTTTGAACTTCGTGAAGACTATGCAATATTCATGGCCGATGATACCACGCGCCTGCGCCCGGCCGTTGTATTATATACTATATATATACAATATATACATATATTTCTCTACGCTTGAAACACCGTCCGAAAACGCTTGTCACTGATCATCTCATAAAAAGCTTTTTGCATTTTAAGAAACATCTGTACAATTTATTTTCAAGCATTACGATGCACTATTAGACGCTTTTTCTACCCCTTGGGGTAAACGGCACCGCGCGAACTCGGAAGCTCACTGAAATATGCAATTCTCTTCCCTCCTTAATCTTACGTGACGCAACTATTCTAATTCATTTTAACGTTTCTTAAATAGGCATAACGCCGTCGGACATCGACAAATACTCCCGCATCGTATTCCCAGTATGTTTCGTTTGCTTCAATCTGATGTACTGGATCATTTATCTCCACATCAGCGACGTGGTCGCGGATGACCTCGTGTTGCTCAAGGAGGCAAAGTAAACGACGACGTCGCAATGCTCCGAATCAAGAAGGAAGAAGGGCAAAAAAATGCACAGAAACGAGCATTCTTACGGAACGAGGATCGATTCGCAAAGGAGGAAGCGAAAACGGTTCGAGGAAGATAAATTGAGACGCGCTCGGTGACTACTTCGAGACGGGAGTAGTAAAAGCGAATAGAGAGTAAAAGCGACCGACATCCGATACAGCCGTAGACCAGCTCGCAGACCAGAGAGGTGCTCTCAAAATATGTGCTTAGGTCCATCTCGAGAGCGCGGTAACCACTTCTCTACTGGAAGTAGTAGCGAATGAGTACGGGCAGCCGCGCGGTTGCCTAGACGCGGAGTAGGACTACTTCGCGATCACCGGCAGGTAGAAACGGACTAACGACTCGTCGCTCCGGCATAGCTCACCAAACGCCCGCTACCACTACTTGCGCGGCTTCGTGGCTACCGCAATTTCTACCGGGCAACATGCTCTCGTTCGTCAATCAGCGATTGGGCACGCGTAAGCTTCGGCTATCGTCGTTGTCCACGAGGCGTCTTCGTTAAAGACTCAATATGTATACATAAAAAAAATATATATATATAGGTCGCGCGATACATAGAAATATATATACATATATATATCGCGACGCAAGCGGAAACGGCAAGCAGGAACTCAATCGCGAAGGCGAATCCACGAGCATACATACCATAAAACATTGCCAGTCTAGGTATTTCTAGTTCTTAAACGGAGAAAATACCTTCGATATAAACACTTGTCAATTTAGCCACCATTACATAGTAACGTTAACTAACGCTAAGAACAACACCGAGACTCGTCGGTTTGAAGCGACGATTCAATCGAGAGCAGCTTGAGGACGGAAAAATATAGGATTATCGACGTTCGTCGAGGTCGAGGATGAATCGTCGCTCTGACGCCGTCAGCAGCGTTCGCGCGCAGAGGAAACGTAGCGGAAATCACATGGTGGCATGTGTGCGCGTGCATGCGAGTGAACGAGAGAGAGAGAGAGAGAGAGAGAGAGAGAAAGAGAGGGAACGAATGAACGCGAGCATTGAGTATGAGTGAAAGCGCGCGCGTGAAACGAAGAAACAGCGGGAAAGTTCATATTCCGAACGAAGATAAACAATGTACTATCGGAGACTGGTGCGACTTATTATCTAAGTAAGTACAGTAAGTATATGTATATTAACATATATACGCGCGCGCGTACGCGGCCACGTTAGGTACGCGCGTGCATGCATATTAGACACGTGCGTGCACACATGCGTACGCAGAACGCATACAGACGATCGATGAACATTCTACGCGAGGTCCACAAAGACACTGACAGTGGAACGGAAGGAGGATAACACGACGCAGGACGCCCACGACGAAAGCAACTCGGATTTCACAGTAGCGGCCTCACTTCAGCATCCGCATTTATTTGGATTACGGCCAAGTAAGAGCCAAGTCTCTTTTTCATTTCGTAGGACTTTTTTACGATTTTTCACGACGCAACTTTTGTATTTCTGTATATGTATGACTCGCGTCGTCGCTGCGGTGAAATCGGAGTAACTATCGTCACTCGTCCCAGGGCGTTCCTGTACGCGTGTACGTGCGTGTGCACATGGCTCAATCGGGAGTACTCTTAGCTCGTACTACGTAGTCGCGACTGTTTACGTAGGGAAACTCCCGGAACATATAATGATTATATACCGGACGTAAAAATACTCCAATCGAGTCGAGATAATCGAGAGGGACAATGAACCAAGGCAGAATGCAACTCGGTACTCATTTCGTACCTACTTTCATTTAAAGAAAATTCTCTTTAAAAAAAATAAATAATTAATATATAAAATATACGTATAGTCACCAATGGACATGCCTTTCATTATAATTAAAAACCAATGACGGAGAACAGATGATAAAAATTAATTTATACAATTAATTTATACACGCGCACACATAATTATTATCTTATTATTCTGAAACTTCAAAACTCTCTTTATTCGCGTATCTTAAATTACTTTGTTCAATAGTAAACCAACGCAGCCATTAATTTTATTGATTTATGTCGTTACTAATCCCATCGTTTTTAGTATTTATGCAAAATAAGAAAGATAGAAATACGATTGCTTTTATTTGTGGGAGTTGTTTTTAGTTCCGAGCGTACAATAGTCTTCTTGTTTCAACGTATTTCGTTGCCCAATGTTTTGTCAATTTAATTAACGTTAATTGCATGGTGTTCTATTTCCTTCTCTTGTACTCGCTGCTCGTACTTTCTGAAATCCTGTTCGCCATTACAGACCATCGATCACAAGAAGTTTCCAAAACCTACACTCGGAACTTTCTTCTTTGCACCTTTCATGTATAAACTGTTTAGTAGCCAAGAGTACTTTCTTTTAAATATAGCTAATTCTTCCTTAATAAAAATTAGATTGGATGCTATCTTTTGCTTTTGTAATTTTCACGATTTATATATTTCAATAATTAAATTTCAATTTAAAACTTTAGACCTGATTTAAAATTAATTAAAAAATAAAGTTGCATTACCTATACATTTCAAACATTTAATTCTTTAAAACTTATCAATCTTCGCGTTGGCAATATAAAAATAATTGAGCGACATTCTTTTTAGTTGGACTTCTGGTGTTTATAATTTAGAAAAAGCGCGAAAAACTTCTGAAATATTCTATATACGCGTATACATAGCAAGCTGTCTTTTTGCTTCTCTCTTCTCCCTCGGATGTAGCGGCTGACTGCAAGCTGGGCCGTGGAAGCTTGCCATTCAGGATATCGACCAGCTGACACGCCCAACCCACCCTCTGACTCTTTCTCATCCCTCCTACGCCACCACTCTTACTCTTCCTCTCCCCATTCTCTCGTCCTCCATTCTACTTCGCAATCGCCAAATAGTCCATTTACCAGACGCTACTATCAGTCGTACATTTAATAAGGAGATCCTTGCCTTAGTATTCCGTGAGAATTCTTTATGAGAATAGGTAATCCCTAATAGTCCAGGATTCTGCCTTGGGACACTATTCACCTCAGATATTTGAGAGAAACGAAGGAGGGATGGTCATATTCGAGCGTCACGTTTTACCAATGTGAAAATGCTGAACAACCTAATCGACTCCGTCATCGAAAAGTAAATTACTTTTAGAATTCATAGAATTATATGCGCGATCAATTTTAGCACTTATTAAAACACACCGTATTTAAATTCAATTGGCAATCTTCTTTCACTGAATAAATATCTAAATTTTATGCAAAAATCGAAAGGAAAAAATATAAAAGTATCGTTTCTACTTCTTCAAGTCACTAACTCGTCGAAGCCGTATAAAGTTGAAAGCACTGACTTATATCAATAATTTTTTTTACACACAATTAAAAATACAATTCTCTAAATAATATTAAAAAAAAGTCAACAGAACGATTCATAAGACATTCAGAAAATATTTAACATTTAATAAATTTCTTAGAAATGTTAATAATACTTAGTTTTAGATGTTTTTTAAATGATTGTCTTCTCTGAGTCGATATCGACAAATCTGATTCTAAAACGAATTCTAGAATTGTGAATAGAGAGTGACTTTTAAAATTCTCAAGTATCTTCTCAAGTACCAATTTTATTACATTCCCATAGAGTGGATCGTACTTTAGGATTACAATTTGAGATCAATATAATTTCGATCGCGTTTCCGTTGTCGCAAATAAACAATAGTGGTAATTTTCAAATGTTTATGGCGTCGAAATTTCAAGCCAGCGAGGTTATACCGGTTCTATTAATCGCTGCATGTACTTTTACTCTTTCACGATTGCACGCGCTTTAGCTTTCTCGATTTTTTTCAGACACCGATGCGATTACACAGTACCCGATAGATTTTACATCTCGCATTTTCGCGATAATTCACGTACACAATCGACCGTGACGTTCCGTTCGCGCGTTATTTCGGTGACTTATTTCGCTTTCGCGTTTTCCGCGCCGAACACTTAGCAACTGGTTCTCAATCGCAGTCACGCGATAATACAAATAATGGCGACGCGAGTTTATCGTGCGCGAAAAGGCGCAAATCGCGTGCCCAGCCCTCGTTCGTTTCTTTCTTCGACTGCGTTCGTACATAATATATAAGTATCGATACATTTCTCCACGTCCGCCCCAACCGGAAGCGTTGTGTGCAATTTATATAACTGTACATCCGTTATCTACTTGGAGTCTCTATAATAACGGGAGAGAGAGGAAAGAGAGAGAGAGAGAGAGAGAGGATCTAACTCGTTTTATCGTTGTGATATATTCTATGGTAGCTATATGCATTTATTCGCGCGTATATGATGACATATACGCGTGCCTATTGTTTATGCTGAATCTTTAAGCTGACAATGAGTGGACAAATGGCGGGAATTGGTGTGCCCACGGTCAAAGAAAAACTCTTCCTTAGATAGACATACAGTTAGGTATAAAGTAAAGCAAATAATTAAATAACGTAATAATTAATTAACTCTACGAATAATGAAATAATTAACGTAATAAAACGCGTTGCACACATCGTCGCGATACAACATGTAAGCTTCGAAATCGCGAATGAACGATATTCCTTTCGAATGCGCGATGTTAAACCAATTCATCAATCATTAGCGTAATGATGATCGATGATGAACGATGTTGTTATAATTCAGAATGATCGATTACGCATTAATTTCTCGAAAATTAATAACGCGCAATCACATCGCAATCTTTTACATGCATTCTTTATTCATTTAACTCGTTTATTCATGACGCTATCGAGAACATTTTATTATAATTGTATTATTTATATAAGACATTCGTAACGCTCAAATAAATTTCTAACGTATACGTTTACTTGATTTAAATAAGTATTCGAAGGGAAGTTTGTTGAAGATTTAGTAGCAGAAAACTCGTAATCAAGCGCATTCATCTACGATAATTCAATCGCTCAACGCGATTCCTTGTGCCGAATATTTAAAAAAGCACGTGCATTGTAAACGCAAATCGACATACGCACGTTATATTGGACACGCCAATTCCTCGCAGACGTCACAATCGACCATTATTATTATTAGTCTCTCACTGAAATTTTTATTACCTTTATTATTATCTTTATTAACGTTAACATTATAAATGACCGTTTAAAGATTACGACGTTTTTTATCCTCTGGCAGGATGATTACTTACGTTATCGGCGGGCACTTATATATCGCGTATATATAACATTACCAAATAGATGAAATCGTTATAAAAACAAAGAGCACCGGTGCGCAAGCATCTCGAGATTTAATGAAAAGAGATAAATACAGAGAAAAATACACAGAACTATTAATATTATATAAATCGATCACATTTTGTAAATACGAGTTTTATACAGAGCATTGTATTCGTTAAACAAAGAGAGTACCTATTGCGAAGTAATATATATACATATTATATATATTATACATACACATATATATATATATATATACATATTATATATATACGCAAATGTAGTGCACACGAAAATGTGACTGTTCGCACGTATTTAGGTAAATCACTTTTAAAGTATAGGAAAAAGAGAAAACCAAAGTAGACTGGAAGAACGTCGGGGGCCGAAAAGTTAATGCGTACGTTCATTCGTTCATTCGTTCGTTCGTTCGTTCGTTCGTTCGTTCGTTCGTTCGTTCGTTCGTTCGTTCGTTCGTTCGTTCGTTCGTTCGTTCGTTCGTTCGTTCGTTCGTTCGTTCGTTCGTTCGTTCGTTCGTTCGTTCGTTCGTTCGTTCGTTCGTTCGT